TGTGCAGGACCTGAACCTTATGCCAAACCATGACTCGGCTGTTTATTTTCTCGTAAGCTGCCGGTCTGAAGTAATCAGAAACTCTTACAGWGAGTAAATAACCACTCTAGAGGGGATCAGTATGTTCATGGTGCACTCAGGATTTTTTGAAGGGCGTAACAGGTCCTTCTGCCCAAGCAGATGCTGCAGCCACTGGGGCACGGTGCAGGCGAACGGGGCTGGGAGCTCTTCGGTAGCAATGAGAACACATACCCAGCCTGGAACATTTCCAGCAGAAGAAAACTACTCTTGAAATAGAAATTCTTATCTTAGCAGTGTGAGAATGGTGGCAGAGGCACAAAGTGCCTTTCACTGTGGAATTGGTAGGATATGTAATTATAGGAGCGGATGGGAGTCCCGTATTTTTTAACTTGGTTGCGTTTTTCTGTCGCCATGAGCCTGTCAGTGATTCCAGTCACTGTGTTGCATTTTTACAATCTGTTTTGTCAGTCCTCAGTGGGTTTTTTTTTTCCTGTAAAACTTTTGTTTGCCCCAATCTTTAGGACTTTGGTGGCTTTACACTCATTGGCTTCCAGTGATTGTAGGTCAGATGCAGACTTGCTATAATATTCAATTTTATTTTCTGCCCAGCTTTTCCTGATGGTATCTTTCCGGGAACACCCTCTGCTCTTCAACATTATTTCTTTGACATTTTTGCTGCTGGTCTACATCTAGATTACTTTCTTTCCACAGCCATATATTAATTACTTGAAATGTTCTTCAACTATCTCAAAAATAAACCTGTGCACCAAAGAGATGCTGGAAATATCTCACCCCCTCTTGAGCAGTTTTCTAAACTTAGTTCTGACTGTGTGCAAACAGCATGGACACTCTGAAAGGAAAGGCCACTCACAAAGCAGAGCATGAGCACTGAAACCTCTCCTCAGGAAAGGTGAAAGCCTGGGACAATTGCAAATGATACCAATTAAAGAGGAGCTATGGGATAACTGATGCCCTTGGCAAAGTGTGACAATTTGAAGAAGAGAGATTGCAGCGACCAAACGCTTTAGAGGGGTGAGTTTGCTGCAGGAACATGATGAAAGCAGCTGCCAAAGGATTAAGAGCAGTTTTAGAGAATGGGAGGTGGAACGGAGGCAGGAGATGAAGATAGAAGGAAAATGGGATGTAAAATCCAGGAAAGGGACAGTTGAAGCGAAGGCAGACGGCAGGGGGGACCCGGCAGGAGCCATGGGGATGACAGAGTGCCAGGGAAATCCTGCCAGCACACCCAAGGTCAGCCCAACCTCCAGGCCAACTGCCAAGTGCATGGCAGCCCGTCGGAGGCCGGGTTATGGCCGTGCAGGGTTTGGAGCAGGCACAGGTGCACAGTGGCACAGGATGGCACTCTGTGCAGCCCTCRTGTCCAGGAATAGGTTCTGGGTCAGAGCAGGCAGAATTAGGATGCTCACCAAGAGGTGACTGAAAGCTTTTCTCTCCAAGCAGCCCTGGCAGCGCTGGGTAATGTGTCCATGCTGAGGGTGCACTCTGCCCTGCTCACTCCTGGGGAGAGAACTTGTGCTCGGGGTACCAACTGTGTGCTGGTGTGTTCTGGCTTCAGACTCCTTGTGTGACCTTGCACAGATCAATACCCTCTAAAATCTGACTGTACGCAGCATTCAGGTCTTTGTGTTTACTTCTAGTTCCAAAAATGGTCCTTTAATGTTGGCTAATTTTAGTGTACGGTGAAATTCAGTCAGAAAAGGTGGTCAGGAGGATAAATGTAGGTCTGGACACTGAAGGAGGATAAATGTAGGTCTGGAAACTGATTGGGATTTCCAAATACACCTTGAATAGCAGGCTGTACTAACACCAGTGAAGATCCTGGAGGTCTTTACAGACCCTCTGTGCCTTTAGCTCTCCAGTATCATCAAACCCGAGCCCACTCATTGCCCTCCAGCCTCCCCCTTGTGAAGCGAGGTCATTATTGCAGAGGATGGGGGTTGGACACACCTGCCAGCAGCACTGTGTTGTGGGGTTATTTTGAAGGAAAATACCTGAGAAGATGGCAGCCCATTGCACCAATGTGTGTGCACAGAGCATGAGGATGGGGTTTATCTCCTGGAGGGGATTGTCAACGATGGGTATTTTGGAAATGGAAGGATCTTGGAAAGCCAAGGCTGTGGAGCTGTTTGTGGTGGGGCTGAGGGCTGGGGTGGGTGCAGATGAGTGTGTGCACTGTTAGCCCAATGCCTGCACTCCGTGGCCACATCCTCTCCTGCACAGCGTGGCTCACACGAGGCAGCTCTGGTAGAGATCAGAAGCTGGAGCTTGGGCTGGGGGAGCCCGAGTGGAGGGTGCCCCATGGGGAAGGCTGGGACCCCAGCACATCCTCGTTACTGCTGACCTTGGCACGAGCACTGCCTGCTGATGGATCGGCTCCGGAGCTGGACAAGCCCCCGGGGAACCACTGCATTATCTGTTATGTCCCATCAGTGCCTCCCCTGACCCCTCCCAGCTCCGAATGCCACAGGCATCAGGGAAGGAATAAATCTCTGTCTGGTGCTGAGAGAGAGAAGGGAGCGAGAGCAGGAAAAAGGAGAGATGAAAAATGTGCTTTTTATGACTCTCACAACAAAGCTGGCCACATGATTCGTAGCAAACATTACTCTGGGAAAAGAGAGGGAGGGAAAGGAGGGGGAATCAGCAAAAAGCAGCGGTGCTTCTTTCCCCTGGAAGGTGTCCAGGGGGAATTATAGAGGGGTATGGGTGACCTTTGAAGGTAAATATCCCAGGAAAAGAAAGGAAAGAGGCCTCAAAGCTTCAGAAAGCWCGCTGCAGTGTCTGCTGCAATGTTCCAACACCGTGAGTGGAAAGCARAGGCACAAAAGTGATCTGAGTTAGAGGAGCAGCAGGGCCAGGCCGTGATTAACAAGGCACTAATGGCAACCACAGCATTTGCTCATTTCTATTTGGGATGATCCAGGAGAGCTCCAGCCCGTGAGCTTGGGAACTCCTGACCTCGGTGTCTCTAGGATGTAAAATTCAAGCCTTTAGCAGCACAGCCCAGGGCCTGAGGAGGGGCTGAGATGAGTTGCTAGGGCTCAAGAAGCCCCTTGCCCATTACCCACAGACCACAGCCACTCCTGGGACAGATGCTGGGTTATTTGTGTTCCCAGGGAAGCAGCCCAGCCCCGAGGCTGTGGGGTGGCACAAGCTGCAATTCCTGCTGTGGAGAGCTGCAATAGAGCTGTGGGTGCAGCCTGGACWGAGTTTGCAGGGTTCTGGACTGTTCCAGAGCACCCCATCACCATCCATGGAGTCTCCAGCAGTGCCATGGCAAAGCCCCTTTGCTCTCTGGCATCCTCAGCTGCACTGTCTGTGCTGGGGGATGACAGCCAGGAGCTGCTCTGGCTGAAAAACTTCCCTGCATCTGAGATATTGATCTGATCTGTTATTTCTAAAAGATGTGAAGKTCTTGGAGTCTTAGAAAAAGACTGTTTACAACTGTTTTCCTCTGCCCCCAGAGAAGCACATGCCTTTACTTGGGAGCAAGTAAGATCACGCTCAAACAGGGCTTACAGTCCAAAACTAACTTAAACTCATCGACAGCCAGGTCATTTTTAGGAAAATGGGTCTTGCTGAACCTGGTCAGCTGTAACCAGGTGTCATGGTTTTACTGACATGACACCAGGGACCAGATTSGTCTCACCAAAGTTGGTATTTTTAACTTGCCAGTCATGGAAAAGTGTATTTAACTACCACTTTTACTGAAATGGYTGTAACAACTCCTTGATAATCCCAGTAATTCGGTTTTATCTATAATGTGCTTTTAAAGTAAAGGGATAAATACAATCAGTCTGCATAAAAGGTAGCTATTAAGGAGCAGGAGAGTTGTACAATAATAACTTTCAATTAAAAGCCCTTTCTCACTACTTCTGCTGTTGTGGGGTCTGCAGATTTTCCTTAAAACTTTTGAAACATGCCTGGGCTTCTTACAGGCAGCCATTTAACCTCCGTTTATGAAGAAATAAAGCAAAATTGATGTTGATTTTGGTCTACATTGGGGGATACTTTTGCAACATAAAAGCCCTTTTGCCTGCAATTTGCAGAGCAGCCCTGTCACATCGGTGAGGGCTGATACTGATAAAGATAAAGCTTTATAGCTGGGGCATTTGCAGCTAACAGCAAGCTAATGCTACATTTTCATTTTGATGCAATTAATGTTAATGTCTGCTACGAAAATTGTCATTAAATACCATTTTAAAATCCATTCAATTTGCATATGCAAAGCCCATTTACTATCATGTAAAATACACGGTGCCGTTCATCATGTCTTTTCTCTAGAATTTGTAGCTGTTATTTTTCTGGCAGTGATTATTATCCAGCTCTTAAAATGAAACCTAATGTCTGGTCCAGACCTGCACAGAGCAAGAAATCCCCCTGGGCTCCAGCAGTAGCGAGACTTTCAGAGGTTTTAAGCGCTGGTTTGTGCTGGAGTTGCACAGGCAGTGGGAAATTTCTTTGCCTCTATCCTGCTCCACTACCAATTCCTGCCAATGCAGGGTGATGAACTAAGTGGGAGAGAGTGGGATAAAGAATTTGAACTGATCTTTAACTCTACCAGAGTATTTCAACCAGTGCAGACAGGTAGAAATGCTGTTTCTCTAATTCTCTGACCCTGGGAAGCCATTTTTCTGGTTGTCAACTTTTCATTTCCTTTAGATTGAAATCCCCATTTTCATGTACATGGTTGTCAACTTTTCATTTMCTTTAGATATTTTTAAGAGGCTTCAAGGCCTTAATACCACAGGTGAAATGAGGCTGTGTGGTGGCACATATGTGATATTCAGACAGTTGATTATGTGACAGAAGTGTARCCAAACATGGATGTGATGCTGTGACTCAGCATATCCCAGTTCAGGACACTTCTGTTTTGGGGACTGTGGGAAATGAGATTGGGGAGAGATGCAGGTAGAAAGGGATAATTTTGTTCTGAGGAGGGCCCCAATCTTCCCCCTTACCGTGAGGGCTTGCCAAAAGTCATGTCTGGAGGTATCTTGCGAGCATATTTGCTGAGTATACTGTCTTCTTTGAGGCGAAGGTCCTTAAATTTGTAGTACAGAGCAAACTCCCGGGCTGTGGTGCACCTTTCCTCCACAGCCCTACGGCCCATGGCCACGAAGTCTCGGGGCATGACCTTTTTCTTACGAGGTCTGGCCTTCACTACGTCCCAGTGGCCTATGGCTGGAGATGGAGGGAAATAGGAGAGAAAAAGAGGAGGCATCTCTGTTAACTCCTGTTTGGGAAAGCAGATGGAGGGGTGTGCACCATTTGTGGCTAAGGTTCATTTTGTCATGGTTTTGCTGTGCAGTGAGCTTCATATCCAGTCCCACTGCATCCCGTTTCAGTCTGAATTGGATGTGTTCTCACCCTCCACCCTRGCTTGCTCAGGAAGTCTGATTTCATAGGGAAATTGTCCCTGAGAGCACAAATTAGGAGCCCTAATGAAGTTATGACAGGTGCAGGTGCACCCTCCCTGCTCAGGAGCTCTGTGGGAGCCTCTGAAAGTTTCCAGTGTGACACAGAAACCTCACTGTTTCACCAAGCAATTGGGGTGATATTAATAAAAGTGGGTTAATATTGGAGTTCTGCACTTCCAGCTTGATGGGAAKTATTGAAAAGCCCTAGGAAGGAGAGTTGAGTCTCTCCAACATCAGGGCTTTGTGGCAGGTCTATGTTTTAGGGGCAGTGTCCTACCTTCAGGGACTCCTCCATCTCTCTCGCCTTGGTAGATCCCATAGGTAAAATCAGGGCCTGGCAGAGAGTAGCAGTTTCTCATGGGCTTTCCCACTTCTGGCTGCAGAAAAGTGAAGTTAAAAGAGAAGCATAAACACCTTTTCTGGTAAGATAAAGCCCCTGAAAACAGCAGTTTGTAACAGAATATGGCCACAAGTATCAGCAGTGGCTCTGGTCACTTGKCAAGGGTTTGAATACCATTGTACAAGTGAGTGCCAAAGTGCAAAAAGGAGCTGAAGCCTAAAGGATGCTGAATTTCACACAAGTTTGAGTTATAGAGACCTTGTCTGGCTGGAAATAGGGATACTGACTCAACAGATATGGACTTGAAGTCTCCTTGTTGGGTTAATCTCTCCTCTGGTGGGGAGGCCCAGCTGTGTGTCTGCTGCAGCTGGTCTTAACTTTACTTTGAGTTATTTCATTTCCAAGTTGTGCATCCTCCTAGAAAACTGACATAAACATCCCCAGGCACARTCACACAGCTCCTCCTGCCTGGGAATAATCAAGACAGGCATRCTGCAGGAGGAGGAGAAGGGGGATGAAGAAGGGAGAGCAGAGCCTGGGGTTTACAGCGCAGGAGAGAACTTGAGCTCAATAACCTCATTTCTGTTTAGTTTTCAAATGAACTCTTCCCCAGATCGTGTGTGTCCCAGCCTGATGGTGTCTGTGGATTAACTGACCTCCCCTCACCCCTTTGTCTCCACCCTCCCATCTCCATTGTGAAGTCACTGCAGGATGTGTGTCCTCAAACCTCATTGCTGCTTGAAAGGGAGGCGGTGGAGCAGGGAAGGGCCAAGTTCCCGTCAGAGAACGCTGCAGCAGTCAGGCAGAAAGTCCCCAGAAGCCCCGTGGGTGCTTTGGGACAGGTTATTTTCCATGGGAATGGTGTTTGGGGAAATGAGATGCTGTAGGTGTTGGCAGTTCTTGTTAAGAGAATGGAAGTGCTGAGATACCACTCCAGCGCTTCTCAAACTTCTACACTTGTGACACCCTTAAGCATCTGTGGTATTCCCATGACTCTGAGGAGCACCAGTTCACCAGAAAATGAATTTTAAGGACTTGCCTTGTGCAAAACTACAGATCCTTTGTTGCAAACAGCCCATTCTAACAGCCATTAATTCAGTGACACAATGCAACCATGGCTTCATTCCTCACCAGCCTCCTGTGAGCCTCGAGCAGAGGGAGGGAGGGACTGTCCCTTGTCCAGCCCTGAGCACAAGGGGAGTGAGTGGGGTTTTAGTGCCACCACAGTGATGCCACCAAACATGTCTGTCCCTTGTCCAGCCCCGAGCACGAGGGGAGTGAGTGGGGTTTTAATGCCACCACAGTGATGCCACCAAACATGTCTGTCCCTTGTCCAGCCCCGAGCACGAGGGGAGTGAGTGGGGTTTTAGTGCTACCACAGTGATGCCACCAGGCAGTGACAAACCATATGTGCACTCTGTGTGCGCCGGGAGCTCGCGCAAAGTGCGTAAACCGCTGCCAGGGATGATAAAGGAGCTTTCATTGCTGATCTATTTCTCATGTATTTACAGCTATTTTTAGATGAGTTGTCACTGGTGTACAAGGGAAATGGTGTAATGTTTCTCAGATGCACAAGGAAAGGCRTTTTCCTGGGATCGTGTTCTGATGGAGGATCGGGGAAGTGAGGTCAGGAATCTGCTGTGGTGGCAAAGGTGTGGCAAAGGGGAGAAAATCATGGAGAAACTGCAGGAAAGGAGAGAGGTCTGTAACCTGTGGCAAAGCTGCTTCCAGACCCTCGAGCGCAGAACTCTGCAGARTGGAAGAAATTATGGGATTTAAAGAGTCCCTTTTGTAGAACACCTGAAGTTAACACAGTTGGGTGTTTACTCCRTCACAAAATGAGAGCATGCTGTTTCCTTTTATGATCAGGTGGCATTTTACAGTCACTTTGCACTGAATAAATAAAGCTGAAGGTGCTGGATAATTAATTAAAAAAAAATCTGGTCCAATATGTTGAACATGGAGCGAATCTGTGCCTGAAGAAAAATCAACAAACTCAGAGGACTCTGGTTGCCTGCCAACATCTTTTACCTACAAAAGCAAAGAAGGGGAAGGATGAGTCTTGCTCAATGTAATCCAAGATTACAGCTTTTCTCATTCATAAATTAGCAAAATGCTGTTTCCACCTCATGGGCTGKTTTCATTTGTTTGTCCTGGGGCATTATAGGTGTGCTCTGTCATAAAGCAGTGGGGAAACTGAGCCAAAGTTGATGCAGAAGGCCTTTTTTTTTTTCCTTTCTCCCCCAGTTCCAGCACTGTTCCCTGTGTTCAGGTTTAGCCTGTCACAAAGCTGTTTGGCTGGAATACAGATCTGTCTGACAGCTGTGCCCATCAGCAGACAACTTCATTAAACCTCATTAAGATGTCATTTCTCTGCCTTATTTCCCACCTCTTGGCTCTAATTAAAACCGTCTCTCTCTGCATCCCAGGCGGTCCTAATTTTCTCTGGATACCTTCTGCAAGTTTTCTCCCTTTACGACCTCAGTGAGGAAAATCCAGCATCTTAAATGCTGTTTATCCAGCCAGTTTGGAAAAGACAGCTCTAGACCTTTTCCTGAAGCATTCCCAGAGCACCCAGCAGAGATCAACGCCTCTTAGGGCTGTGAGATGTGCACTGAGGCTTTGTTTGCTCTCTCAAACTGTCCTCAAGGGCTCGGCTGGGCATCCTTTCCCTTTGGATGTGATCATTTTCCTGGGTGAACCTCCTGGTGAAACCCTGGGCTGGGTTTGGAGGGTGATGTGCAGTGCTGGGGGTGTTTGTTCAGTGGGGTTAACTTGGCTGGCTGAAGAGAACTGTTGGGTGAATTGAGTTATCCCCAGCCTTTGCCAAGGTAATTTCTGATTTGTGCAGCCCTCGGCTTGAGCCCTGGATTTGTTTTGGAGTGTTGGCAAATGTTTGCTGTGAAGGAAGAGGAAGGCTCTGAAGGGGTCTGTTTCTAAGAGGTGGATGCATTGCCAAGGTTGAAGGAAGCACAAAACCTTCAAGGATTCCAGGTCTTGCTGCAGGACTAATTTGTGTTCCATCCCCTGGTGTTCACGGCCCAGCAATGCACATTGCATCAATTTTCTAAAGATGACTGAGACAYGAAGGAGACGTGTCCATGCAGAGAGGTACAGAAAGCGACTGAGATGTGGATTTTTAATCCCTGCCTCTGCAGCCTTTCCCTGGGAGGGGATGCTGGGCAAATCCATGAATCCTCTCTGCTCYGACTCAGCCGGAGCTGCCCCATCCCCTCGTCTCTGGCTCTGCCCTGTGGACACCTGCAAACTCTGTGCCGGTGCATTTTCAGCCTGCCAGGCCCTGCCYCCTTCCTACCTTCTGTTCCCCTTTTCATTACACCCCCTTGTACAGTAAAGCCTCCCGTCACGCTGCCATTACTATTATTATTGCAGATTTACTGCACTTGCAGAGTGAAGTGATTGCGGTGACAAGGCCCAGCATTTTTCCCTCCTTCCCCCCGCGACAGCTTGAAATCAAGCCCTTCATTTGCATTTACATGATCTTGCTGTGCAGCTTATGAGATCGGGAGATTTATTTGCTACTTAGCTTGATGTTTGATTACACTCTAAGAAGGCAGTGAGCTACAAAGTGCAGGGATACATCAGAACTGAGCTACTGAAAGCCTCTGGGGGACAGTAACTCAACATCAGGTTTAGGTAGATGAGAAAGGGAATGTTCAGTGTTTTGAGAAAGGCAAATTTGATGAGATTTTTTTTTTTTTTAAAGGTGGAAGGAAAAACTTACTTTTCCTTTCTCAAAAAAAAAAAAAAAAAAAGGGAAAACAAGAATGTTATGTTATAAAAACACACCTGAAAAATCTGGGTTTGTTAGTGCAGAAGAAATCCTAGCAGGAGCTGGTGGCTGCTGGGCTGCCTGCCACCAACTGCTTGTAACTTCCACTCCCAAGAAGATTATTAATAATAAGTTGGCAGTTGTCTTCGAAGCTTTTCATAAGCATTAAAGGTCAAAGCCAAAGGAAGTTTTGCTTGATGGACCACCACAAAATCTCTCCCCTGATTTATTAAGCTTCAAACCATGCCACTGAGCATTAATCCTCTGTAATAGAGGGGAAACTGAGGCAGGGATTCATGGGCAGCAAAGAGAATGGAGTTTGGACTGGGGAGAGAAGCAGACCACTCCTAATAGTCCACTGTGTTCAGAGTGGGAGACCAAATTTTCACAGAGTTCTGTAGCAGTGTAAGAGCTCTCTCTTTCCAGAAAAAAGGGTGATGGTTRGGTGAACTGCTGCCCTTGGAGTCAGGAACAGCAAAGTTCAAGGATCTTGTAGTGAGTTTAACTCTTTTCATTACAAATCCTCCAGCCAGAGCAGCCACCCTGCTAATCCAGAGTACATCTACAAGTGCAGTCTCCACTCACTGACCTGCACTGGGAGCTGCAGCATTATTGGACACCTCAGGTGTGGGTTGGAACCATTTTCCCCTCTGGAAGCCACGATTTGTGTAATGCTGGCAGCAGAGGTGTCCCCCTCGCTGGGTTAGGGAGGGCAATGAGAAGGCAGACAGCACTTCCAGCCCAGATTCTCCTCACCCAACCCCTGGCGCCGGCCCCTTCCCATTTTCTTGCTCCCAACAAACTCAGGGCCACACACGGAGTGTCGGACACAGAAACCCATCCAGGGAAGCACCCACTGTGTGATACAGTCACTGCGCATCCCAACTGTTTGCACTTAGCTTTTAGTCTTGAAAATTGCCATGAGATATGCTATTACAATTAATCATTAAAGACTTAAGAAAGAGTATACCCCATTACATAAAAGACTYYGGCGATGATCTTTATCCAACTTGTAAAATGGGCAGACTTGATGCGACTGAATAATTTTCCTCTTATCTGCACAAAATCATGAATGCAAGTCAGACTTTGAGCCTGAAGTGAACACTGYGAGACCAGCTTATAATTACCAAAACTGAAAAAAAAGAACAGCGTTTTCTAATGAATGACAAGCCACTAGGTGGAAATCTAATTTGGTCTAATTAAGCAGCCTTTGTGAGGATTTGTCTTTAGATGAAAAGAGGGAG